ACACACACACACACACACACACACACACACGCCCCGCTCCGAGGCAGGATCTCACTATGTACTTCGGGAGCTGGGCTCCTTAGCTGGCCCTGAATTCACAGCGCTGCCCCAGCTTCAGCCTTCGGAGTCCTGGATTCCAGGTGTGCGCCACTATGCCTGGCTACTGGCTACTGTGCATATTTTAACACAGAGAGAACAGGTATTGAGGAGGTAAAAGGTGCCCAGGGAGACCAGCCAGGAAGCCACGGGGAGAGTGGGGCCAGCTGACAAAATGAAAAGAGCTGGTCCCAGCCCAGAGGTGTGGAGGGGCCTGGCACGAACTGACTGCCCCAAAACAGCCGTGACTCGTTCACGCATCCAACAGCTACACTTCCTCCGCCGAGACGGAGGGCAGAGGCAGGCCAGGGTGTCCCTCCATCTCCCAGGCAAGGTGCTGATGGGCGCAGCCTCACCTGCGATCCAGTCGTAGCCCAAATACGGCCGCAGGCGCCAGCTGCTCTCAGGCACTGTGAACTCCTCAAAGAAGGTCACTCTGGGCTGAGGAGAGAGGCCAAGGGCAGGGTCTTTTCTTTTGTCACAGTACTGGGTTGGATCCTAAGACCTCTATGCTGAGCTGCCTTCCTTGTCCTTTTTATTTGGAGACAAAGTCTCCCTAAATTGCCCAGAGTTGGCCTGAACTTGCCATCCTCCTGCCTCAGCCTCCCGTGGTGCTGGGATCTCAGCTGTGCACCGTCACACCCGCCTCCACACCCAGCGAGGGGGCTGGGTCTTAAAGCACACCCTGACTTGGACCCTGGGATGGTTGGTCCCATTTTACTGAGGGCTTTGAACAAGTCTGAACTCTGAGCCTCGGCCTTCCCACCTGTACAAGGAGCTCTGAGTCTGTCACCTTCTTCCCAAACAGCTGTCTGAAAAATTCACAGTGAGCTCTTCTGCAGCACTAGGGTGCACCCAACACAACTTACTGCAGCTCCCAAGGCCTCCCGTCCTGCAGAGGGGCTGCCCCTGGCACATCTGTCAGCCCATCTGTGGATGCCCAGCTCTCCCGTGTTACCTTGTACTTCCTGCTGTGCCGGGCCAGGATGGACTTCGGAGCGTGGGCCTCCTGAGGCCCATGATCTCCCCGACCTGCAGATGGCTCCTCCGGGTCACCAGCGGCCAGCAAAGGTGTCGAGCAAGGCCTTGGAGGGCCCGGGGCCTCTGGGGGTTGGTACTTGGCAGGAGGCAGAGAGGACACCCTGGAGGGGGCCCTGCCAAGCCAGGCTCTATCACAGGGGTCACCTGTGTGGGTGTCTGGGGGCTCCCACGTGTGGCATTTGTCCCGTAAGCAGGAGGCACTTGAGGAGGCTGACGATGTTTCTGAGGACAATGGCGTCTCTGCATGATAGCTGCTGTTGCTACTGGAGTCCATGCCTGACTGCAGAAGAAGGTCCAGGTCACCCGAGAGCGCCAGCCAGGGCCTACCCACCAGGCTTAGGTCCTGCGCCGCTGCAGTCTCATAACGTGCAGCCCAGTCCTATATCTTGTTCACAGTACAACGGGCAGGTGGGGCAAGATGAGCCCACGGCCTAGACACCGTCCTGTGGCTTAGGCAGCCCCTTGCCCTCCCCTGGGCACCTACCTCAGAAGCTGCCCGGGCCACCAACCGCTGCATGGCAGCCTGCCCAGCCCGCAAACGCCTGAGGAGCTCCAGATTGCGCAGCCGGAGCTGCACGAGGTCTCCAGTCTCCCCCATCCTGGGCGACTCTGCCTGAGATCAAAACAGTGAACACAGGGCTGACAGTTACACAGCAGGCACTAAAACAACGGCTACTCCTGCTTTTATTTTTGTTGGTGGAAACAGAGTCTTGCTTTGTAGTTCAACGTGGCCTCAAACTCACTATGTTGCCCAGGTTGACCTCAGACTCACTGGGTTCTCTCCTCCTGCCTCAGCCTCCTGAGCACTGGGATTACGGAGGTGTGCCACCACGACCAGCTAAACATCTACTACTCCTAACAGGCGCAGGCTGTGCTTCCCTACCTGCTAAAACAACCAGATTACTGCTTCACAGCCTTGCCTGGGAAATTAGCTTGATTTACAGAAAGAAGACAGTCCAAGTCTGCAAACACAAAGCTTCATTTTTTTTTTTCTTTTCTGAACACAAAGTCTATAACTTACGAGTCCCACACAAGTCCAGCTTCTGGAAGGCTTCCCCCCACACAAACGCTTTTGGTTTGGTTTATTTTATTTGTTCATTTATTTTCTGGCAGTACCGGGGATTGAACTCAGGACCTTGTGCTTGCCAGACAGGTGCTTAAGCTGCTGAGCTACCTCCCTGGCAGGCCAAGGTTTGGTTTTTTGATGCTGGAGATTGAACTCGGCCTGGCGCATGCTCGATGATGGTGCCCTCTGCCACTAAGCCACAGCTCAAGCCCGGGTCCTTTTCTTTTTACATACGAAACGCAAAGCTCAGAGAGGTTACACAATGTCTCCTGAGTTACACAGCTACTCAGAGGTAAAACCAGGATTGGAATAAAAATCTGGATCCAGGATGCAGGGGGAGAAGGACCTTCCGAAGTGTAGTGGAGAGGGGACTGGAAAATCTCCTCCTGCCAGCCCTCTGGAAGCGATTTCTGCAAACATTAGCCATCCCGCCCACCACGGCCCTCACAACCAACCTCACCTGGCGACAGCCACCCGAGCCCCTCCCTAAACCGCTGCAGCAGAGCAAAAGCTTGCACCGAGCCCCGAAAAGCGCCCGTGGAGCGCAGGGTGCAGAGCAGGAGTTCACAGGAGTCAAGGGGTGTGGACCGGAGGGACAAACGCCAGAACCCCGCCCTGGCTCGCCCTTCACCTGGTCTGGTGCCGCTGCAGCAGACCGAGGTACCTCCGGGTCCGCTGCTGGTCACCAGCCGTCTCTAGGAGACCGAAAACGCAAAGAAGCTAAATGAAGGCGTCGTAGCAGTAACGGAGCCGGGGGTGGGGGGGTAGACACCGAGACTCCATCCTGGGATCCAGAGGTGGCCGCCTCCCATGCTGTCACGGTAACCAAGCCACCCGGCGCGGAGACGCACGTGGTCCTCCTACGACCGCTGGCTCAACAGCCAGCCGCCAGCCGCCAGCCGCACTCACCTGGCGCAAGCTTGGGAGCCGCACAACCTGCAGCCAGCCTGCGCAGCGCCCAGGTTCCGCCTCGTCTCGCCCGCTGTGCGCCGGCGCCGGCTGGGGGCGGGGACTCCGATGGCTAATCTGATTGGTCACAGGAGGGGCGGGACCCTGACACCCAGCCAGCGTCACTCTGCGTCCCGAAGCGGCAGTTTTAATCTGAGGGCGGGGCTAACTAGGTTCTCACGGCCAATTGGTCAATTTCTGTTGCCAAAGGAATGGGATGGAACCCAGAAGAGGATCTCCGATTGGTCGGAAGTGGGGCCGGCCCATAAAAGGAGCGGCAGCGTCGGCGTCTGAAAGCGGAAGGAAAAAGTGGTTAAAATAAGAAGGTAGGTACCTGTAAAGCAGTCCGTAAATTGTAAACAAACTTTTATTGAGTGCAAACTACACGCCATGCATTTGAGCCAGGTCTTTGCCATATGCCAATGGCCTCATTAATATGTGAAGTTATTTTTGTCCCATTTTATAGAGAGAAAAATGAAGCTTTCTGAGACTATGAGATGAAAGTGTTAGGCTTTTCGGCGGCGTAGTAGAATTAGGCGAGATTAAGAGGCTTTTATTGACTCAAATTGACAGGGAGAGAATGCCAGAGAAGATGGGGGGGATCCTCTGATTTGAGACAAAGAAAGGTGAGGCTTTTATGGGCTTTTGCTAGGGTTGGAGTTTGAGGGGCAGGTTTAGTGACACATTTCAATAATAATAATTTAGCAGTTTGTAGTGATAGGTTCTGATCCTAGTATGAATTGCTGAATTATTATGGTGATCATCTAATATGGCTTGAAGTCCTTAAAACCACAGCTTATCTTCCCGGACACCACCTCCTCACTTCTCCAACTCAGCCCGGGGTGCAAGTTCCTTTCACCTTTCGGGCTGCCTCAGGGAAAACCTCCATCAGCTCCTCGGGTATTTCTAAACATCCTCTTCAAACTCAAATTTAGCAACAACTTGCTTCAAAATGAAACTAAAAGGGACTAGGGATGTAACTCGGCTTTGGAGTACTTGCCTAACGTGCAGGAGGCCCTGGATTCTAACTTGTCCCACAGATAAATTAAAAATCAAAACCAAAAACTTTCAACAAACCAAAACTGGGGAAAGGAACTATTTCATCCTGATAAAAAGGCATCTATGAAGCACTTAAAGTTAGCAGCATTTCCCATAATAGCAGCCTGAATACTTTCCTTTTTTTTTTTTATTTTTATTTATTTTTTTTAAATCTTATTTATTTATTTATTTATTTTGTGTGTGTGTGGCCAGTTCAGCCCACCAGAGGGCGGGGCTGGATGGCATGTGGTGCTGGGGATTGAACCGCGGTCCCTGTGCTTTTGCTTAGCTTAGCTTGTTCTAAGTAGGTGCTTTAGACCACTGAGCCATCTCACCAGCCCCTTTTTTTTTTTTTTTTTTAAATGTATTTAGTACAGGGTCTCACTACATAGATCGGACTCATAGTGATCCTCCTGTTTTCAGTCTCCCAAGTGCTGGGATTGCAGCTGCGAGCCACCAGCCGTCTCAGCTTGCCCCACAGGCCAGGCCAGGCAGCACAGCTCGCCAGGTATCAAACCCCAGCCGCTGTGCACTGTCTAAGCAGGGACTTTAGTCCGCGGAGCTCTCAGGCTGGCCCCTTAGTTTGTTTTTTGAGACAGTGCCTCACTGTGTAGTCCAGGCTGGCCTTGAATCCGTTATGGGGCCCATATGTGGCCTCGAACTCATATTGACCCTCCTGCCTTGGCCTCCGGATGCTTGGATTGCAGATGTGGTGCCACCATGCCTGGTTTACTGTCCTTGTTTTCTGTGTAAAGGTCTTATTTGTTGTTGTCATTGTTTTGAGACAGGATCTCACTGTGGTTTTGTTGTGTTTTTATTTTTGTCTTTTTTTAAATTTTTTTTTAAATTTTTTTTTGGCAGAACCGGGGATTGAACTCAGGCCCTTGCACTTGCCAGAGAAGCGCTTATTCTACTGAGCCATCTCCCCGGCCCTTTTTTGTCTTTTTTAAAAAATTAATTTAGCATTTTGTAAACAGACACAAATAAAATGACAAACTGAAATGTGAAAAGCTCTTTATAATTCACTCCATAATTCTAAACAAAGTGCTGGCTGGCCAAATAGCTTAGCAGATTAAAGCATCTGCAAGGAGGCACAGGGGCCAGGGTTCGATCCCCAGGCCTGCCATGCCAACCTCCCCCCCCCACCACCAGGTATGCTGAGAGAGCAGTTGAGACTGGGCCTGGTGATACAGGCCTGTAATCCCAGCTCTTGGGAGGCTGTAAACAGGTGGATTACTGCGAGTCCAATCTAGTAGTGACACCCTGAACACTTGTAGACCCTTCCCTAAAATACAAAAAAAAATAAAAAATATATATTTTTTCAGACCTGGGGATTGAATTCAGGTCTTGCACTTGCCAGGCAAGCGCTTATTCTACTGACCCATCTCTCCTGCCCCAAAAAACATAATTCTAAACAATCACCTTACATGTCAGTAAAAAAAAAAAAAAAAAAAAAAATCACCAAATATTATGAAGGTAGGACAATTTACATCATGAACCAAAAAACAGAAAACATTTCATAAGAAATATTCTAACTATGAAAAGAATTGCTTCCTTGGTCACTTCACCTCTTTTTTTTTTTTTTTTTTTTTTTTTTTTGATGGAACCAGGGATTGAACTCAGGTCCTTGTGCTTGCCAGGGAAGCGCTTATTCCACTGAGCCATATCCCTGCCCCCCCTTTTTTTTCCTTTCACCTCCTTTTCTTCTGTGTACTTACGTACAGTACATTGTTTCCTCAGATAAACTTACCCGGTACTGACTCTTCAGTTGTCCGGTGCTCTTCTGTCTGCTCCAGGGCTATATTCACATAGCCATCCGGGCAAGCCAGGACTCCTTGATGACCCACTCCCGAATTGCATTTGACCACAACCGGCCTTCCAGTGATTCACTTTAAGAAGTCACAAGGAGTTTGCTTCCACGCTCATTTCACCAATCTCAAGAGGCAGGAAATCTGAGTTCTAAATCCCACTCTGCTGCTTTAGTTAGCTGTGTGACTTACTCCTTCCTTCACCTCTTGTGGCCCAGGCTGCTCATCTCAGCTGGATCCAGAACCCTACTCGGGGTACCCTGGGAACCCGACCTCTGTGCACCTGTTTTTTGTCTTTTTGAGACCAAGTCTCACTACGCAGTTCGTAGTTTGGGGCTTATGTTTGTTTTGTTTTGTACAAGGAATCAAACTCAGGATCTTGTGCTTGCCAAGCAGGCACTTGTGCCGCCATATCCTTAATCCTCACTGTGTAGCTGAGGCTGGCCTTGAACTCACAGAGGTGTTCCTGCCTCAGCCTCCCAAATCCTAGGATTACGGGTGTGCGCCAGGATGCTCAGCTTCTGTGTGCAGGCCTTACACATCGCAGTATAACCCTCCCTGCCCTTCCTGCTTTGCCAAAGATTGCCCAGGTATTCCCAATGTGTGTTGTAATGGTTTTAAGAACATTTCTTTATGCTGGGGGAAAAATGTGGAGAAAGCTCAAAGAAGTGTTGTAGGCAGCTGAGTTAGACAGAAGTGTTATAGGCAGTCAGACGGAGCTAAGCCCTCAAGGAGACACAGAAGACAAGGTACCTTACAACTGTGAGAGATAGAAGCTCCTGCTGTGGCCGGACTAAAGACCAAATGCTCACCTCACTAAAGATAAGCATCGGGCATTGATCCTCACTTTGAGGAAGCCAGGAAGTCACTAATCCAACCACTACTGGCTGGCTACCGGATGCTCTGTATCCATGCCCCCTTGCTCCGTGACTCATTTCCCCATTTGGTCCTGGATTTAATCAGTGGTGCTTGCAACCTTACTGGTTGACCATAGTTTTGTCCCACCTCATGCCCCCCTCTTTGTCTCCACCTTACACTGCATAGTTTTACTTTATAAATATCCCTGGAAGAGACAGCTTTCCGGAACCACCCACTCGGGTCCCCCTTCTATCCTTCTCTGATACAGGAGCTTTCTTTTCCAATAAGTATATTCTGCTCTTAACCCCCATTTGTTCCTAAAATTCATTCTTTGGTTTTAGAGAACACAAACTTGTCCAGGTACCTTTCAGGTTGGGAGTTTCATTTTCCTAAATCAGAAGAACTGCCCTGGGCTGAAACTTGCTGTCCTCTGGCCTCAGGCTCCCACAGCAATAAGATTACAGGTGTGCCCAGTTTAAAGAACTTTTTTTTTTTTTTTGTGGCCAGCTCAGCCTGCCCTGGGGATGGGGCTGGGGCAGCATGTGTTGCCAGGGATCGAACTTCAGTCCCTGTGCTTGCCTAAGCAGGTGCTTTAGACTGTTGAACTATCTTGCCGGCCCTAAAGAACTCTTAAAGGTCATAACAGCCCCAGCTTTTAAATTAGCAAAAGAGCTAAATAGAATCTCACCAAGAAAGAGATGCAGGTGCCAAGTAAGCACATTAGAATGTGCTTACATCGGGCCAGCAAGATAGTTCAGCGGACAAAGCACCTGCTTTGGCAAGCACAGGGACCAGGGTTCAGTCCCTGCCCTTCATGCTGTACCTGCCCCGCCCCCGGGTCATGCTGAGCCCGTGACCAAGTCCAGGCATGGTGGCACACACCTGTAATCCCAGCACTAGGGAGGCTGAAAATGGGGGGTTCACCAAAAGTCCGAGCTGTGTAGTAAGACCCTGTACCAAACACACAAATTACAATAATAACAATGTGCTTGCAAGGGGCCAGGGAGATGGCTCAGTGGAATAAGCGCTTTCCTGGCAAGCGCAAGGGCCTGAGTTCAATCCCTGATTCCGACCAAAAAAAAAAAAAAAAGAATACTCCAAACAATGTGCTTGCGTCACCTCATACCACCCCAGCTGATCAGAGTCACCGGACCTCCAGCATCCTTGTTCGCCTCGAGCCCCTCTGGCACCAGCTGCCCTTCCAGCGGGCCTTCTACTGAGACTCTCTATCCTCAGGGAGAAGCCCCCCAGAGGTGTACTTAGCTCTAAGATAGCGTATGGTCTGTGGGCTAGGGGGTGTACTAGGTGGTAGCGTGGTGGTAGCGTGCATCCTCTGCAGGAGCAAGGCTGGGGTTAGGACTCAAAGTTTCCCAAGCACACTGCCCCCAAACCCTCTCCCTGTTGGTTTCCCAGGCACCCTGCCCCCAAACCCTCTCCCCTTGGCCCCACGTAGAGCCAAGCCCAAAATCGCAGAACAAGTCTGCCTGACTTTGGCCTGGGCAGGCAACCACATAAACTCTCCTTCATTAACACTGAAGGTCCCCCACAGCCAAGATTAGCGCTCCCTCAGCTGTTCCAGCCCACAACCCCTCCCCACTCCTTAAAAATTCCTGTGCTTTGCCTTGTTTGCTGCTGTCTTGGTCTTCTAGACAGCCAGCCCACTTGCTGCCCCAATAAATCTTCTACTTATGTCAGAATGCCTGGTCTGGTTGTTTGGGTTCGCATAGCTGTCATTCTACCACTGGGGAAGCTGAGGCAGGAAGATCGCCACGACTTCAGGACTGGCCGGGACTCAATAGCGAGCTGAAGGGCAACCTGAACTACATAGTGAGACCCTGTCTCAAAACACAAATACACAAGAAACCCTGGCTTTTCTGTGTCATTTTTCCCCATAGTTACAGACCCGTGATAGGAGCCAGTCATTCTAACAGCTAAGCATTTGTCTAAGCGCTTGTAGAAGCTGTTCATAGCAGCTTCAGTGCAAATCCCAGCACCTACCAAGAGGCGAACAGATAAACACTGTGCGGTCTCACATGTGGCCCGGGGCGTGTGCCGCCTGGGGTGTGGCGTCACCTCCCACCTTCAACCTCACCCTGTTGTCCACAGCCCCACGGCAGCTCTGGCTCTGTGAGCTGTGCACCGGCCTACGCCATCCCTCCACGCATGCTTGCCAGGCCTCGAAGGCCTTGGGAGTCTGTCCTTGGGTTCTCCTCTAGCCTCTTCTCCTCCTCCACCTCACGTGGCCACAGTGCTGTCACTTTGTCCCCTGAAGAAGCAGCAGTCTCCTGCTTGGTGCCCTGTGTCCTTGAATCTTTTTGCAGAGGCCTTCTCAGCCCCAGCCACACCTCCCTCGTGTTCCCCTCAGCCCCAATCTTCTGACCTCCTGCATCCCAATTAATTTTGCCTGCTCCCTACTTTCCGCAGTAGGCGGGGTTTTTTGTCTGCCTCTTTCATGGCTCTACCCACCATGTCTGGAGCCGTGCAAGGCACAGAGTGGGCATCTGGCGTTGTGCTCAATTAACGAACTTTATTTGTGCAAAGGGGGAAAAAAATCATCAGCCTGTTGAGGGCATCTGGGTTCCTGCACAAGGATGCCTGACCTTGCTGAATTTGGGTGCAAGTTGATCGCGTGTGTGTGTGTGTGTGTGCATGTGTCTGTGTGTGTTTTGAGGCAGGGTCTCAATATGTAGCTCAGGCTCATTTGAACTCTCTTTGTAGCCCAGGCTGGCCCGAAACTTGATTAGATCCTCCTGCCTCTGCTTCTGAAGTGCTGGGATTACAGGTATGCGCCACCATGCCCAGCAAACTGGTCGTCCTTATGTCCAACCTCAGAAGCAAGCTCTGGAATAGGAAGCAGTGCCCTCGAGGACAGTGACCTTGGCCAACATCCGCAATGCAGGCCCTGCTTTGGAGGAGCGCTGTGAAACAGATGTCCTCCTGGGTGGGGCTCCCAGGGCCACTTTCCCTGCACTTGGAACTGAGTGCTGCATTCCTGGTCGCAGCGTCTGTGTGATTAAACGGGGACACTGCCACTGGGGGTGCAAAAATCCCAGTCTCTTGGTTCCCTGGAACCTCCAGAGGGCGGAAGCAGAAGCCTGAGAAACCACAGGAATGAGTCTGGTCCTGACTGGAAGGAAATAACTAAGCAGCGTTGGTGGGCAGCAGCGTTGGCTCTCCCAGCTCTGCCCAGCTGTGGGGGCTTGGGGTGGAGAGCAGCGGCTCGCACAACACGGACACTCTGCGAGGCTCCATCTTGTCTGCTTCTTGTTTCTGATACGGGGTCTAACAGTCCAGTTGACACATTTGAAACATTTTGTTTTGTGGAAAGTTTTTTTTTTTTTAATTTTTTTATGTGTGTGTGTGTGTGGCCAGCTCAGCCCACCAGGGGGCGGGCTGGCTGGCATGTGGTGCTGGGGGATTGAACCGTGGTCCCTGTGCTTTGCTGAACCTGTTCTAAGTAGGTGCCCCAGACCACTGAGCCATCTCGCCAGCCCCTTGTGGAAAGTTTAAAGGCAAGTTCTATCATCCCCTTCATAGATGCTGGGACTTAAAGGGCCCCAACTCCTCCAAGCCTGCTTCCACAGTGGAGCTGAACTGAGTACACAACCTTCCAGATCCCTAGAGCTGTGCCCACCCACTGGCTTGTGTGTCAAGGCTACAGGGCTGTCTCGCGCATGCATGGACTGTGCTGTCGGGACAGGGACTGGAATCCAGGTTCTCTGGGGCTCTGATGCCACGCTGGGCCCTGCTCAGTAAACCCAGCACCCAAGTCCCAGCCCTCACAGAGCACATCCCAATAGGTGCACAATAAAGCCAATGCCATTTTGCATTAGGTGCCAGCCACTAGGGGACACGTGCGTATCCACGATGCACGTAGGGGACAGGGAAGAGGGGGATTTCAACAGGGTCCTGGGGGCTGACCTCCCAAGGCAACAGTTCAGCACATCCTGGGGTCCATGTGTGGACTGGGCCCTGCAGGGAATGTGCTCAGCTAGTTCAAGGAGCTGCGAGGGTGAGTGTGGGCTGCGTGGAGGGAGCCGGGGGCCAGGAGCCTGGGGATCCCCGGGTGGGGCGGAGCCACTAGACCGAGGCAGCAGGGACAAGGAGCAGGGGCAGAAAGGGGCAGGGTCTAGAGGACTTAGAAGCCAGACAGTGGCGCTGGACAGGAGAGCAACACCTAGGTCTGTGGCCTGCAGATCTGGAAGAAGGCTGCTGTCAGGGGAGCGGGAGCCTCTGAGGAGGGTGCCCAAGGCAAGGGGACCGTGGGACCCTTCTACGCCCAAGGGCACTTCGAAGAAATTTTAAAAAGTTGGTCACAGCCAGATTCTCAGAAGGCCAAGAGGGGTGCCCAGGTCTGAGTCACTGTTTGAAGTTACAGAGAAATCTGTGAAAAAAATCACCCTCCATTTCCTGGCCCTCCATGCTGCCAAGCACACGGTCCCCTGCAGGAGTCTGGGGGCCCCCAGAGGCCCCCCAAAGTGCAGGCTGCTTCTGGGGAGGGCGCAGTGCAGCTGTGCGCCAGAAGAGCTGTCACACGTGGTTCCAACTGGGCTTTATTTTAATTTCCAACATTATGGCAAGAGTACAGGAGGAGTCAGGCAGAAGCATCACCTTACATGGGTCAGGGAGACACTCACCGTCACGCCGTCTTGTGCTCCAGCAGACGAATATACACAGAACAAGTTAGCAGCATTAAAGTAAAGTGCTTTCTGCCACGCTTCTTTCAGAAAAGATCTCTATCTCAGTCATACAAATGTAATTTTACTTATTGTATTCGAAACGCAAATTTTCATTCATCCCCTGGGAGCTATGCGGAAAAGAATTCACTTTTATTCTTTTTTTCCAAAACACAGAAATTCACTGGGCTTGGGTGACACTGATTGTTCCTGACACACTGTGAGGTGGCCCCCATCTGTCCTACTGCTATGTGGCATCCCTGGCCCAGCCAACTGCTGTCCCAGGCCGGGGAGCCTGGAGGTCTGAGAGACAAGCGTGCACTGAACACAGCCTCGTGTGGCCACGCACCACCTCGCTTCCCCACACAGGTGCCAGCTGGATTAAAACCCGGCAGGACCAGCTCCCCTCTGCTGAGTCCTGCCCTGGGCCTTCCTGCCGGGACATAGTGGCTTCTTTCTAGAACATTCTGCCCAGGCCCTGCTTTTTTCTGGTTAGCACTACAGTGACGGGAACTTTCCCCACTGACCAGTACCAATCCCCAAAACAGGAAGCAGTTCTCATCCACATGAGGCCAGGTGTGATGGAGGCTCTGGGGTCAGGAGAGCAGGATGAAGGGGTCAGGCTTCCCACCATGACTGTGGCCACGGTGATCACTGGAAACAGTCTGGAGGCCTGGGGACCAAAGGTGGCTTGGGCAAGATGGGGACGTGATCAAGTCAGTGGGGCGGGGCTCTCAGGCCCGTGTGCCCCTTACCGGGCAAGGGAACGGGGGCCCTGTTCATGCCAACCACTCTCTCCAGCCATCCTGAGCAGGGCTAGCACCCCACCTTCCGCCATCCTTCTTCTACATCCTTTAACCACCTAGGCCAGACCAGCTCTCAACAGCCAACACAGGACTTCACGGCCACTTGAGGCCTGGGCTAGACTCGGCCTTTCTGGAATTCTCAGAAACTTCTGGGAAGGGAACCTGGCCCCTGCCAAAGTGGCCTTGCCACAGGTGTGCTGGGGTGCAAGAGGGACAGTGCACAGGGCCGGAGGAAGGTGGGGTGTCTGCCTGGTATCCCTGAAGGCTGCCACCAGTTGAGCTGTGAGGCGGACTCACAGGACTTCTCCAAGACAGACAGTCGACTTCCAATCACTGACCCCGAGAAAGGCCTGGCCGTGACTCCCAGTACCATGCCGTTGGGTCGGGTCATCCCCGTTCTCTAGGGGCCCAGCCAGGTCTCCCTGCAGGAGCAGGCGAGGGGAGGGGAAACTAGTGCTGAAGGGCTTGAACGGCACGAGACAGGAGGTGCTTTCATTCTTGAGGTGGTGGCCAGGGGCTGGAGCCAAGGTCCTGGGGGCCACACGTCACCGAAGGCAGGTAGTACTGCCCTCCTCCACACAAGCCTACCCGCGGTCCACTATCTGCTGGGCTGCAGGTACTGGTGCGTGAACATGTTGAGCTCGCTGTCCAGCCAACCAGCCTTATTCCTGCAAAGACAGGGTACTTCGTCCCATCGAGCACTGCCGCCGGGCAATGCAGGCGCCGCCTGCCACGCACCCCTCAAGGAAGGGCGACGGGTGCTGCACTTCACACTCCACTGGCCCTATTAACCTTGCTAGAGATGAGGAAAGGAAGACCGAGAGGAGACAACTGCCATGTTCACAGGGTGATGGAGGGAGAATCAGGGTATTGTATCTTGCGAACTTGCCCAGGCTGGCCTTGAACTTATCATTCTCCTGCCTCAGCCTCCTTTTACAGCTGGGATTAAAGGTGTGCACCTCAAGAATCAGGCTTTCCTGACCCTCAGACCCTGCGCTGGCTTCACCAGGGGCTGGGGCAAAGCCCTGACAGTGTGACATTTTCCTGCTCATCATCTTTCCCAGGTCAGTCCTGTCTCTGGCACAGCAGCAGTTGCAGCAGCACGTGCTGTGGGCCCTCACCTGGGAACTGGGGGAGGGGAAGGGGACCACTCGGAAGGGACTTCTCAGTGGCGGCCAGGGCTGAGCGCACTGTCCAGGACTGAGTAGGGAAGTCTATGTGTCTGGTGAGGGGACAAGAGGGAAAGCCTCAAGCCCGGCCTCTCGGCTCTGTGCCTGCAGGCCTCTGCTGCCAGGGCTGGGACAGGAAGTGCAGGCTTTCTGAGCGTGGACGTCGCACGGGCTAAGCAGGCCGAAGACTTGCAGAGCACCGTCGTGCTCACGGTGGCTGGCATTAGGTTGCCTTCCCTCTTCACAGGTGAAAATGAGACACAGGGAAGTCGCGCGAGTGCTGGGCCAGAACCCAGGACTCCCAACTCCCTGATGCTCCTCCAGCATCCAGGACACTGCTCATCGAAGCGCCTATCTTCCCCGAGACCCTGGAGAGGTCTCAGTCCTGTCCCTGTGGGTGGCAAGTCACCCTCTAGCACAGCTTTCCTGCTCGGGGAGGGAGCTGCTGGCTCAGCCTCCTGGGACAGCGCAGGCTGAGGGCTGAGCACACGTGAGCTGCTGCAGCTCAGAGAAGGCGCCTGCAGGCTGCAATCCCGTGCTGTCATGTGTGCTTCTAGGGGTCACCATGCCCCCAAATCAAGGGCAGTGCCACTGTGTCTCACTCAGCCTAAGATGCTGGCACCATCTGACAGCAGTGCCGGGTAAACATCTAACACAAGCGCTTCAAGTCCCCAACACCAGATCTGTGCCATGTGTGGGCCGGACTGCGGAGCCCACTGCCTCAGCTGCCCCCCAGCCTCACCTGAGCAGTTTTGCTTTGCTCTGAAGGGAATCAAGGATCTCAATTTTCTTATTCATGGTGGCAATTTCCTGCTCCAGGTTCTCCCGGGTGACGTCCACTTGCTGGCAGAGGTGAGCAAAGGTCCCAGACAGCTCCCTGCAGGGACAGAAGTGGGGCGGCAATGCACAGAGCTGTCTGACAGGATGTCACGGTGGCTGAATCCGCCAGAGCAGGGCTGGCCACACCCCTGCTGGCAGCTGTGCCAGCACCAGTCCTGGTTTGGTGGCATCCTTCACACCTGCTGCAGACTTGCTGGGCACCACCATGGCAAGAAAAGCAACCCAGCCCGGGTGCAAGGCCAGTATTCAGACCCTGGCACCACTGCTTGTTGCTGGAGTGGCAGGGGGATGAGACACCATTTTCTAAGGCTCAGTTTCCTCATTTTGAAAAAGGAAATGCTAATAAAATACCATCTATCTCGAAGGAGGAGGTGAGAAGTCAGGTATGGAATAGCTGGCGAAGCTCTGCCACACAGCAGCAGAGCAGCACTGGCAAGCCCATCCTTGGCAGGGGACGGCTGCGCTCCAGGCCTGTGAGGCGCAACAAACCTGGGAGGCTGCAACCCAGGACGCCAAAGGCCACACATGGCACATGCAACCTTCAGAGGCTTGTAGCAGCACATACGTCCCCGTCCCCCCAGCCTGGCCCCACCAAGCACACAAAGTGTCCTGGAGACCTTCTCCCTTTCCTGGCCACACTGCCGGCATTGCACAAAGGCCTGGGGTCCAGGATGCTGCAGGCCAGGATGGGAGGGAGGCACCCCCAGGACCCGTGGGCCACTTACTGCTGGACTTGGTGGCTGCAGTTGGAACCCGTGTAGCTGATGATGAGCTGCAGCTTCTCGCTGGCGTACTCCACAAACTGCCGCTTGAAGGCCCTCTCCTTGGCCTTGGTGGTCCAGGTCAGGCGCTCATAGACGTACAGGAGGCCATAGAGCCCGAAGGAGAGCGCGATGAGCCGCCAGCCCACCGCCTTCCATACCTGCAGAGGCGCACTGTCAGGGGAACAGTGCCTCTCTGGGTCCCCTGCCCCGACACTCCCAGGACGGCCAGGAACTCCACACAAGAAATCCGGGGTTCCACTAGGAGCCCCTTTCAGTGTTTCCTTTGACCACAGGACACAGTGTGGGGGCCAGACTAGGTAAACACATTTTTTGTATGGTACCAGGCATTGAACCCAGGGCCTTCCCACTAAGTTAAATTCCCAGCCTATTTTACATTTTGAGCCAGGGCCTCACTAAGTGGCCAACCTGCCCAGGATGGGCTTGGACTTGCACTGTTCCTGCTGAGCTCTGAGTGCTGGGATCACAGGCACCACACCATCGTGCCAGGTCAGCAGAACTCTTATTTTTTTAATTTATTTTTTATTTTTAATTTTTTATCTTTAGCATCTTCCGCAGCACTCATGCCAAGGCCTCCCGCATGCTAGGCAAGGGACCTACCACTGGGCGACATCCTCCCCCCCAATAGAACTTTCTGTTTTTTATGCAGGGTTACTAAGAATTGAACGCAAGACCTTGTGCTACCAGGCAGATGCTGTAGTCATGAGCTCTATCCCTAGCCCAAGCAGTTTTTTTTTTTTTTTCTTTTAATTTTTTATGTATTTGGTACAGGGTCTCACTACACAGTTCAGAGGCATAGTGATCTTCCTGTTTCAGCCTCCCCAGCACTGGGATTACAGGCATGCACCACCACACCTGCCTTGGTGACCAGCTCGGCGTGTGATACTGGAGATTGAACCTGGGTCCTTGCACTTGCCTAGGCAGGTGCTTAGACCGCTGAACTATCTCTGTGGCCTCAAAGCAGAACTTACTGCTGGCAGGTTGTGGAGCAACAGCTCCTGCTAACGACACAGACCTGCAGAGCTCTGCACGCCCTTCCTCATCTTTGGTCTCGGTGAAGGCAGGTTATAGCCAGAGAGCAGGGCTCAGAGCCTGAGAACAGGGCTCTCACACTGCCCGCCATGCTGCCTTGTGACCCTAAGCAGTTTCTTTACACAGGTTTCCTCATTTAGGCGAAGCCCAGGGCAGCCAGGTGTGGGGGTGACACCTACAATCCCAGCTACTCAGGAAGCTGAGGCAGAAAAACCATGTGCTCAAGGCCAGCCTGGGCAACTAGTTTGGTGAGACCCTGCTCAAAGTAAAACAGGACTGGGGAGATAGCCTGACTTAGCACGACTAAGGCCTGAGGTTCAATTCATAGTACCAGCACCCACAAAAAGTGGGGATGCAGACCACAAAGCACCTCCGGATGGAAAACACTCTGCCAGCCCAGGACTGAGCCCTCATACCCCTCCCACCCACTCCACCCCAACTAGCACTCATCACTGACCACGCCGCCAACCACCAGGATGCCCATGGAGGTCCTGGATGTCAAAGAGGCCAGGCCGGTAACCATGGAGACCATGAGCTCCTCCTGGGTGAGCGAGCCTTGTGGCAGCGGCGGCATGCTGGGGTTGGCAGGTGTCAGTGGGACAGGACGCTGCACCTGTGGAGAGAGGTGGTCACGGGGTGAGAAGGTGGTGTGTCTCTCAGTGAAGCAAATCCTCAGGGACCCCAAGCCTAGGGGATCTGCAACAGGGACCGAGAACATCTCTTCAATTTCCCAAAAGCAGAGGGAGAAAGCCAGCTTCGCGCGCAGCGCTTACTTCCCGAGGCACTAGCATGGCAGCTGGGAAAGGCCTGGCTGACCTTGGCATGATGCTGAGCGCGCTGTACCCTGTGGTGCACACGGCCTGGCTGCCTGCCTTCGGGGACCCACTTCAGAATGGCTCATGTGTCTGGTGGTGGGGTGCAGACTGAGCTCCCATGATGCCCTGGGGAGGAACTTGCTTGCCTGGTCATTGTAGCCCATCAGGGCCCGGCGGCTGTTCTTTGGGCCTAGAAACCTATTCACCAGCATGGTCCACCCAAGTGAGAAATGGAAGTCAATGTCCTCCTGAAAGTCGGCACAGAGCTTGTCACAGTTGAGGTCATAGCTGAGGGAGAAGCACTGGCGAGGGACCAGCACGTCCACCTGGTTCCGCACGGACACTGGGAGGAGGGGCTTCAGGCCATCTGTCAGGGACACGAAGAGTACACATACTTGGGCCTGGGCACTAAGCCTCGGGGCAAGGACCACACCAGCTGTGGCCAAGGAGACGAAAACTCTACCCAGACACCACCCCGGTGGGGCAGCCCTCCGTGAAGGGATACCAGGGGGGAGCCTGAGGGTCCAACCTGCTAACACCTAGGCCTCGTGTGGGTTACAGGCAGGCCAAATTCTCAGGCTGTGACAGTTCCCTGTGATAATCTGGGAAAGGATCCCCAAGTCTGCACATAGAACAGACTCACCCTCCCCCTACCCACCCTGAACCTGAGGTCCGGAAGTACATGGTCAGGGTGACAAGCTAGGGAAGTACCCATGTTTCTCTGGAGTGGCCTCTGGATCTGATCTCTGGGCAGCCCCAGAGCCCCAGGACCCAGGCCCCTGTGGCACTCACCGATCATGTCCTGCTGCATGGTCTGCAGGGAGCTGGTGATGGCTGTGGAGCAGCGGTCTGACATGTTTCGGCCCAGCCCTTCCTCTATATGGCGGTGCAGTTCCTGTAACCAGGAGGGAGGTAAGAGAAGCGGCGCTCTACCCCAGGCCCACCAGCTGACCAAGAAGGGCACATGTCTAGGCTCCCATGTGGCCCTGAACCACTCTTCAGTGGCATCTCCAGGGACAGCCAAAGAGCAAAGGGGGCCCTGCTGCTTCTGAACTCACATTCTTATAGACCTTAAGGACAACTGGAGAGGGGTGGAAATCCATCTGGTACTCGTCCACCAGCACTGAGAGGCGCCTGATCTCCTCGGCCATCGCGGTGGACACCTGCAGCCCAGGGAAGTTCACTGTAAGCATCAGGAAGCGTGTGGCCCACCCGGACAGGCTGTGTCCTGAGACAGCGGCCAACCTGAGGCCAGGCTGATGCGTGCAAGAGGGACCTGCCCAGCATCACACAGTGGAAGCCACGATGAAGCTCCATATTCTTGAATTAGGGCTACAACCTCTTCCTGGAAGTGAAGGCCCCCAGGGAGAGGATGTCTAATCTGTCCCTTTTCCAGCACCCTGGACTCCGAGGCCATAGCTCCCCAAATCCTTCTTCCCGGCTTCTCACCTGCCTCTCCACTTCCTCCGTAATCTGCTTAATGCGAAGTTTGTAGTCTTGAGCCAGGAGCTCCAGCTGTTTGTCAATGAACCGCAGCCGGTCTTGCCGCTCTTCACGCATCTCCTGGCAGTAAACCCTGAGAGCAGGGAGAGCTGGTCAGAGGAGCACAGTCCCTGCCGGCCCACGCACAGGAGGATAGGGGAATCCAGGGAGCTGTCTGGGCCACACCCGTGCTCCTGCCTGGGCAGGGATTCACATAGGAACCCACAACCACTCACTCCTCGATCTCCCACTTGACACTAGAGGGCAGGGTGCTTGGGGGACTTAGAAAAAATTCTGCCTATTGTTATGGGAGAAAGCAAGCCCAGCCACACCAGTGACCAGGGAAATGAAGTGAGAGAACACTACTACTTCTCCCAGAGGCCTGGGAAAAGGGCCAGGCGTGAAGCTGTGCTGTGCTGGGGAAACGGGGGTTCCTGCAGGCAGGGCTGGGGGCCAGGTGGGGCTCAGCTGCTGCAGCCAGCCACAACACAAAGCTGAGTAAAACTGAAAACCATCTACCCTAAGGCACAGCAGTCAAACCTCTAGGAATTAGTTCTAGAAAGACTCAGAGGTGCCTGAGGAGGACACAAGCAGGTGGCCACTGCTGGAAGGTAATAGCATAAGAGAAGCCAAAGCCGAAAATCAACTGGTAGGAAAATGGGCTGAGGTTACCACCCCAGGGCACACGCCCATGTCAGCAAGGGTGGGAGAATGAGGGTGAAGAGAGAGGGGCAGGGCACAGGACACACAGGATGACATCACACCAGACAACCCTGCGCACCAGAGGGCCATTGTACGGGTGCGAGGATTTCTGTAAAAAGTATGTCCTAGATGGTGACAGGCCTACACAAAGTCACGATCACAGTGGCTCTGAGGACTGACAGGGTTGAACAATCACAGGACACTCAATGCCTTCAGTTACTTTAACTTTACATTAAGCAAACGCTGCCAATTCTGGGTGGTGGGAAGCAAGGTGTTTGCATACTATTTTCTATACTTTTCTGAATTTTAAATTTCTCCAAAAGAGAAAAGCAAAAATAATAAAACAACTGAGCTCAAGCTCTGAGAATGGCTGGGTGGGCAGGGTGGCGTCCACACGACACAGGCAGGTGAGTGGGAGGCATAGGTGGCCCTGCTCCTGGCTGTCCATGTGGCTCTAAAGGGGCTGCTCTCGGGGCTCTGCCTGGGACACCCCAGCTGCCCAGGCAGAGCGGCATGGGCAGGTCCACGTGTCGCTCTTGGCCCTCCACTCCCCTCCTACCGCTGCTCCTGTGCTGCGATGTGCAGCGAGTCCATGATGAGGCGCACGGCCTCCGCGATCTGCTTGGCACGGACGGTGTGCTGCTCAAACTTGGTCTTCACTGCAGACTGGGAGATGCACTCCTGGAACACACAGAAGGGCTCAGGGAGGCGGGGACCCCTACAGCTGAGGGCCAGACTCTGGCACTCCCTGCTGGGGACACGACCAGTGAGCTCAGGAGGCACAGGATCAGCAACACCAGCACCAAAGGACTTACCTCAAATCTCCTCTCGAAATTCTGAAACTCAAACATCCTCACTTGAAAGCCCTCCGCAAGAGCGCCCCCTAGGAGAATTGCATGGTGGAATAAGCCCACAGACCAACAGGGAACCCCCGCAGGCACGCCTCTCACCCCTGGACCTTCTCACTGCCTCTCTCCAAAATTCCCACTAGGTGACACAGCACGTGACTTGATGCTTTGAACCCAGGAGGTCCTCTGTTCCCATGGTTACCTCCTTCTGGCATGCCCTGGGCTTTCTGGATCCTGGCGTTGAGCACCTCCTTGGCAGACACAAAGAAGATTCGGTCTCCAGCCTGGGCTCGGTCCACCACACCCAGCTCATCCACCAGGAAGCTGGTGCAGCGCTCCATGTGTTGCCGCCGCACCTGCAGCCCATGAGGATGAGAGTTTGGGACCAGAGTGGGGAGCGGCAGGGCTGTTCCTGGGAGCCCACAGTCCGTTTTTTGTTTTTTTTTTAAATGCATCAGAGGAGTGTGGGTCCATTTAGAAGTATAAGGTCACCTGCCACCTCTGGTTGCTGTCATGGGGGTTTGTGGGGATCAGCCAAAGGTGGGTCATGCATACAAAGTCAAGTGTTTTTAACAGATTTCATCCTCAGTGAATCCACTGTACCCATCCCTCCAGTGAGGACAGGATTACAAGAGATATTAAAGAATCTGCCAATAATATTCAATAACGGAACTTAGAAAAAATGGGGTATACAGATGAATGTCCATTTTGTATCTGTGTATTCAAAGTGGTTGGGATAGATATATAGTTACATTCTGTTAATGAATAGAATGATTTGTTCTAATGGTGTTTGTAAATAGGATCACAAGTCCGCATCTTGTACAGCAATTAACCACTAAGAAGAATATATGCAGTGTATTATTTGTTGAAAAATAAAATAAAAATAAAAAAAAAAATAAAAAAAAAAAAAGAATCTGCCAGTCCCACTGCAGAATCAGTCGGGTCTGACTCTGGCCTGCCGACTGCAGACTTGATAAAAGGAATCCAGTACTGCAATCTCTTACTCCCCTTTCTTTCATTCCTCAGGTATCAAGAGTTAAGAGCTGTCACTGAGAACCAATTATTCTGCACTGTTCTTCAAGCTTCTTTATCTGTCAAACGCAGGCACCCACCTCCTCCATGTACTCGGGCTCCGACGCGGATGCATCCCACCGGTTGTTCAGGATGAAGATGTTTGGGCGGGAGAGCCGCTCGCTCACCTTGTGGAAGAACTGCTTCTCCTAGGCAGGGGGACAAGGCCTCAGGTCAAGGGGCTGTGCCAGCCGGGTGTCCCCAGCAACCTACAAAGCCGGGTCCCATGAGAAGGCGGGGAGGAGGTACCGTCTGCATCAGGGTGGACTCCGAGTTGGCTACCAGCACAAAAACATCAGCGTCCAGGCAGAACTTATCAATCCAGCTGTCCAGCTCTGTGGTGACATCAATCCCAGGGCTAGAGGTGACAGGGGCAAACCAACACAATTGAGCAGAGAACACAAGCCCTGTCCTTCCAGCTGTGAACAGATGAGGGGCTTACGAGGCAGGCGAGCCAGGAGGGAGGAATTGGGGCCAGGCTCTCATGTGGGGAATTTTACCAGCTTTACATCTTTCTAGAACGCCTGGAAACCTGTGGGGTTTAGCATATGCACGTCCTACTTTTATAAAAATGTAACAACTGGTAGTTTTACTTTAGGAATACAGAGCCTGAATTTATTCATTTTTTTGAGACAGGGTCTGGCTATGAAGTTCAGGCTGGCCTGAAAGTTACAGTGATCCTCCTGCCTCAGCCTCCCAAGTGCTGGCAATACAGGCATGCACTACCAAGCCTAGCCGTAAAGTTTGAACTTGAGTCCAGGTAAACATGACAGTACTGTATTTCTTGAAGTAGGTATAACGTGTGCACAAAACAGGGCAAAGTGTCCCTTTAAGAGGAATAACATAGCCAGGCATGGTGGCACACGCTGCTCTGGAGGCTGAGGCAGGAGGACAGTTAAGCTTGAGGCCGGCCTGGGCAACTGAGCACACCTAGTCTCAAATTTTCTTTATTTTTGATACTGGAAACTGAATTCAGGAGCTTGCACTTGCCAGCAGGTGCTGTGCCCAAGTTACATCCCCAGTTCTCAAATTTTAAAAAGAAAGGTCTGGACTGTAGCTCGGTGGTAATACACTTGCTGAGCATGAGTGAGTTGCACGCCCAGTACTACCCTGTCCCCTACCTCAGTAACCCCACCACCTGGTGATCCCCAGCGCACATGCACACTAGGACGAGGGATGAGAGGCTCCCCAGCCCACCCTACTCCCTCTATCTCCCTGACAGCCCCACCCAGAAACATCTGCAGGGCACTGATGTGACGGCTTCCAGTAGGCTGACCTTGGTGGAGCTCCAAGAGGGCAAGGGCGTGGCCGCACCGTCTCAAAGGCTGCTTAGCTGGGCACGCTACCCAGCAGAGCACTCTCCTCCATGTGTACAAGGCCTGAGCTCCACCCCACCACAGACAGAGGCAAAAGGCAGAGCAAGGCAGGATGATCCAGAAACGGAGGGAACCCTGCGCCCCTAGCTCAGGCCTCCCTCCGCGCCCGCGCCCCGCCCACCTGTCCATCAGCACCAGGTCATCCTTCAGCAGCGGGCATTTGGAGTTGGGCCACATCACGCTCACCAGGCTGCCAGCATGCAGCTGCTCGTCCTGATGCAGCGCATGCGCCAGCTGGTTCACAGTCTGCCAGGAGGAGGGAGAGGAGGGTCAGGCCGCGGGGCGGCCAGCCAGCCAGACTGCCAGACCCGCCACGGCACAGCAGCTGGGCATGGCAGCCCAGTCGGCTACCCTTTTCTTTCATCACATATATAGAGGTAAGGGCTAGGAGCTGTCAGTGGGAACCGGCCTTCTAGCTGGGGGTGCTAGAGCATGCCTACAATCCTTGGAAGGTGCAGGCAGGACAATCACAAGTTCCAGACTAACCTGGGCTACTTAGTGACCAAGACCCTATCTCAAAAAATTTTGTTTTTAATTTTTTTCTGTATTTTTGGGGAAGGGTCTAAAGGGTGTTCAGGGTCTCACTACCAGATTGGACTAATAGTAATTCTCCTATTTACAGCCTCCCAAGAGCTAGGATTACAGGTGTATGCCACCACGCCCAGTCTCAATAGCAGCCTCAGCATGCCCTGGGGGCAGGGCACGACAGGCTGGGGATCAAACCCCTGGGCCCTGTGCCTGCCTGCAGGCACTTTAATCCACTGAGCTATTTGGCCAGCCCTCCAAAAAATTTTAAAAAAGAAGGGCTGGGAATATAGCTCAATGCAAAGGCCTTGGGTTCAATTCCCATCAGCGCAAAACAAAAAACAAAGCTTGCTTCATTTTCCCTTTCAGGCTCTTCCCCACACATCATCCTAAAGCTCATGTTCTGCTTAATTTTTAAGACAGGGTCTCATTATGTAGTCCAGGCTGGTCTTGAACTTATTATGGAGCCCAGAATGGCTTCAAACTTACAGTGATCCTCCTGCCTCAGCCTCCCAGGTGCTGAGATTAATTCCTTACAGACCTAGATAAGATAAGCACTTGGCCCCAGGCTGGAACACAGCCATCTCTCAGAAAACTGTCACTGGCCCACTCAGCCCTCATGAGGACCCTATAGCTTGACTTGGCTCACACTGACTCCCTGAATACTCGTCCTCAACAGAGCTGATCTAAAACAGGCTCTCACCTTCCAGCAAGGCGAGGCACTGCCCTTTCTGTTGACCTGGGGTCACCTTGTGATGTGTTCTCTGATGGGTCCAGACTCACCCTGCCAGTACCCTGTGGCCAGCACCCACCTTGACACTCCTCTTCTCCTCCGAGCCCTCGGTGAGCAGGAAGGCCTCGTGGCCATCGGTGCCCCCCACTCGCAGGAAGCAGTTGGTGGTGTGGCCAATCCCAGAGGGCAGAACCTTGTCCCATAGCATGGCATTGATCACCGTACTCTTGCCGTTGCTCGTCCTGGGAGGAAATAAGGCCATCAACAAAGCCACCAGCAGCCAGTCTGGGCTGTCACTGGCGGTCCTGAGTCAAGTTCTCTGCCCTGTCACTGGAGGCTAGACAGTGCCCAGTTCCCTGTTCGCTAAAATGGGCAGGCAAATGCCACCTGGCCTGAGCCTGTGCCATGCCGTGGTTCACTATGTCAGAGCCATCTGGGAGGGGCTTGTGCAGCAGGATACCAACCACAGACGTGTGACCTGTCCCCAGACACCATGCTGCCTCCCAGCATCAGAGGCACAGACATAGTCTGTACCCCTGTACCAAGCACAACCCACTCCCTGCTGTACAAGAGCTGAGGGCCACCCCAAGGCTGTCACAGCATCAGGACAGGACTTGAGGCACAGTGCCTATACCCACAGGCACTGTGGAAACTGCCATATGCCTGGCAGCCCACCTGGCTAGGGGCCTTTTTTCTGTGTTCAATTTTATTTTTAGGTATCTATGAAAGTTAATTGAGGGGGCAGGCCCCCATGGCTCAGTAGAATAAGTGCTTGCCTGGCAAGCACAAAGGCCTGAGTTCAATCCCTGGATCAGAAAAAAAAAAAAAAGAAAGCTAACTGAAATAGAAAACTCTAACAAGAAAACTGGGGAGGGGCCGGGAAGATGGCTCAGTGGAATAAGCGCTTCCCTGGCAAGAGCAAGAGCCTGAGTTCAGTCCCCAGTTCCGTCAAAAAAAAGAAAGAAAGAAAAAAAAAAAAAAGAAGAAAACAAAACTGGGGAAATGCTTCAGGACATTAGGGAAATGAAAAGCAAACTCAAAGTGGGAACCGAGGGCAACGGCCTGCACCCACGCTCCCTCAAGTCCAGAGGCTGAGGCAAGAGAATCCCATTTATGGTCGAGGTCTAGAAGTCCCTCCCAAGACTTTCAGCAGTCACAAGTGGGGCTTTTTCAGAGGTGGCTGGATCTAGAGTGTGCGACTGATTTGTGGCCCAAAGCTAGGATTAAGGGTGGGTGTACTAAATCAGTTCACAGATTGGTTTGGTACCACCTTAATCCCAGGAGCCTGGACACAATATAACGGACAGAAAGAGGCTTGCCTTGTCCTATGCTTGCTTTGCTAATTCTGCTGGCTATGGGCTGGGGATACAGCTCAGCAGCATAGTGCCTACCTGGCAAGTGCAAGATCCTGAGTTCAATTCCCAGTACCAAACCAAACCAAACCAAAAACCTGTTCTCCTCTGCAATGTCTGTCTTGGAGCCAGCCAATTACGGACTGCAAGTTCTATACAGTGTGAGTTAAACCGTTTCCCCTTTTTATTTTTAGTGTCAGGTATTTTATCTCAGCAATGAGAAAAGTAACTAAGACACATATGAACCCAGGAGTTGGAGACCAGGCTGGGCAACACAGCAAGACCCCACCTCAGAAACAAGCACACAAATAGCTCAGCAGATTGAAGTGCCTGTGAGTAGGTGCAGGGGTTGGGGGTTCAATCCCTGGGCCTGCCGTGCCGGCCCCACCCCCGGGGCGCACTGAGACTGAGACTGGGTGTGGTGACATGTATCTGTAATCCCAGCTCCTGGGAGGCTGTAAACAGGTAGATCACTATGAGTCTGATCTAGTAGTGAGTCCCTGAACACCCTGTAGACCCTTCCCTAAAAAAATACAGGGAAAAAAAAAAAGAAAAAAAGAAACAACACAAACTGCACAAAAACTCACAACAGAGTTTCACCCAGTAAGCTTGGCCACTATCAAAACCCAGAAAACAACCAGTGCTAGAAGACTGTGGAGAAACTGAAGGCCCTGTGTGGGGAGACACACAATGGGACACTGTGCAATGGTTCCCAAAAGGCTAAGCACAGAAGAATTGCTGATCCAGTGACTGCCACAGAGCGCTGAAGGTGACGAGCAGAACCGAGCTGTGCCCTGCATTCACAGCAGCAGTGCACTGCAGCAAAAAGAGGGGAGCAGTCCGGCACCCACAGGTGGGTGAGCAGACGGACACGGTACACCACAATGGAGCAGCACTCAGCCTTAAAAGGTGCATTTGGAACAGAAGCAAACCAGATGCCAGGCCTCGAGGTGAGTCATCAGCTGCGGCAGAAGAGATGGAGGAAGCGCAAGAGACTGTATCCCAGCCCTGTTTGCAAGGGCAAGTTGAAAAATAAGGAACAGATTCTCATCCTTTCTTCCAGAGAAATAAATTCCAGGACAAGACATTTAATGCAGGACTTGAGAACCTTGATGCCTCATTCCACAGCACATACTAAAATGGATTATAAAGATAAATTATTTGGGATTAATAAGGTCTGTGAAATGAAAAACTGCAACAAATGCATCTATGTTGAAGCTACGAAAAAACAAGATCTGTATATGTGGCTTTCAAATTCACTGCATGGACCTCCTGCCAAATTCCTTGTTCAAAATATTCACCCCCTAGCTGAACTAAAGATGACTGGAAACAAAGGTTTTCTACCACTTTTGTTTTGACCCTGCTTTTGAGGAACTGTCACATTATGCTTCATTACAAGAACTCAATTCAGATTTCAGCACCCCTCGGTATCATCCCCAAGGCAGGCATCTGTGGAACACTATTTCCTTTCACATTTTGGATAATAGGATATGGTTTGGGAACTTCTGGATCACAGTTCATAGATGAAGATGATCTTAGTTTGGTTTGGTACCAGGGATTGAACTTGAAGAAATGGGACCACATTTTTTCTTAAATCTGATTTTTTTTTTTTTTTTGCGGAACCAGGACTTGAACTCAGGCCCTTGCCCTTGCAAGGCAAGCGCTTATTCTACTGAGCTATCTCCCCGGCCCCTTTATTATTTTTTTCTTAGGTATTTAGTACAGGGTCTACAGGGTCTCACTACCTAGATTGGACTTGGTAATGATTCTCCTGTTTTCAGCTGCCCAAGCACTGCGATTACAGATGCACAACACCACACCCACCAGTCTCAATTGCCCACTCAGCGTGCCCCGGTGTGCATGTAATACCACTGGTCCCTGCACTCGCCTAAGCAGGTGCTTTAGTCCGCTGAGCTATCTAGCTGGCCCTATTATTATTTTTATTGATTTATTTGGTACAGGGTCTCGCTAGACAGTTCAAAATCACAGTGATCCTCCAGTCTCAGCCACATATAACAGGGGTCTAAGGGCCAGGGAGATAGCTCAGTGGCTGAAGCGCCTGCCTGGCAAGCGCAAAGACCAAGTTCAAGCCCTGGTACCGCATGCCGTAGCAAGACCCTGTATCAAAAATAACATTAACAGGGGCTGGAATAAGCACTTCCCTGGCAAGTAGAAGGGCCTGAGTTCAATCCCCGGTTCCACCAAAAAAAAAAAAAAAAAAAAAAACCATAACATAAAATAAAATATTTTAAAAAATAAAAAATAAAAATAAATAAATAAAAGGGGTCTGGAGGACAGGCAAGATAGCTCAGCGGACCAAGTGCCTGCTCAGGCAAGCGCAGGGACCAGTGGTACTGCAAGCACACTGGCTCTGCCCTCGGGCTGCTGAGCCACAACGGAGTCTGGGCATGGTGACGCACACCTATAATCCCAGCACTGGGAGGCTGAAAACAGGAGGATCACTATGAGCCCAAGCTGCGTAGTGAGACCCTGTACCAAATGTACCAAATACATATATTAAAAAGAAAGAACGAACAAACAAACGAACGAACGAACGAACGAAAGAAAGAAAGAAAGGTAGATAGATAGATGGATGCAGCTGGCAAGGGGTTGGGGTAACGGGGAATTGCTGCTGAATGGGGACATAATTCCAGTTATGCAAGATGAGAAGTTTTGAAGGTGGGTTGTACTCTAATGCGAATACACTCACTACTGAACCATGTGCTGTACTCTGTAACAGTTTATTCAGGGGCCTGGAGTGCAGCAAGCTGAGCCACACATGTTCAGCACCTGCAAGGCCCTGGGTTTCATTTCCAGCACCACCATCAATAAAAAGGTTAATTTTATGTTAAAAATATTTTTACAAATTAAACATAAAAATGAACTTGCAAGGCTCAGGCACCCCGCTGCCCAGCTGAGCCCGAAGGAAGACGCTCCGAGGGCTTCCAGACTCACCGGCCGAAAAAGGCCACCTTCATGTGCCGCCGGGCCAGCACCTCGCTGATGCCCCTCACTTTGGACAGGTAACCTTTGACATCCAGAACCTGCTCTTCCGTTGTGACAGGGTCCAGCTCTGCATTCCTGTAGGTGTCTGGAGACAGAGGACATAGGGTCACCACAGGGTTAGAGCTCTGCAACATGGCCGGGAGGAACCCAAGTGCTGGCCCCGCTCACTAGACCCTCCATGAGGCCACTTCTATGGCTCCATGATGTGGCAGCCAGGACATGACTGGCAGCAAGACCGCCTGGGGGCCTGAGCACAGCTGCCAGCTCTGGGTCCACAGGCGCATGAGCCTGCCCGTCAGGTGGAGGCAGCCGCACTCTACGTCACCTACGTGGGTCACGTGTAAGTTAAACCCCAAGAGCTAAGAACAGGGGCTGCTGGAAATATGTACATGTTAACTGCTTTCCCGCAGGTAGTTTGTCTCAACAAACCCTTATGGAGCCCTCACCAAGGTCAGGCACTGTGCCAGTCACTTCCCAGACATGCCTCGTCCAGCCTTGCCGTTTGCCCTGCGCAGGGTCCCAAGTGGCAGAGCCAAGATAGGAACCAGGCACCTGGCTCCAGAGTCCAGGCTTTCAAGCCCTCTGTGTCACATCACAAGGTCTTTACTGACTAGCCCTGCCGACCTCTCTCCACCTTACCATCTCCCCAAACTGGCCAGCCCCTCACCTCAGCCCCACCCCCCACTCTGCAGATTAGATGCACAGCCTGGAGCCATCTGGCTCATGCCACCAGGCCTTAGGTCACTTGGGAGCCTTCCTGACCACATCCCCAAGCTACAGGCCCCAGGCTGTGCACCCACCACACGCAGCACGGGCCTTGCCACAGCTGAAATGGCCAGCTCACCTGTCGGCACCATCTACCACTGAGACTGCCCTTCCTAATCCCACGGCCACAGGCAGGTCACTAATAAATCATACATATATATATAATTTGAAAAGTATACATGTTTTAAAACATATATATTTGATTTTTTGAGACAAGGTCTCCCTATGTAGTCCAGGCTGGCCTAGACTCACAGTGCTCCTCCTGCCTCCGCCTCCCAAGGGCTGAGATGACAAGCATGCACAACCATGCACCACTCCATCCAGCCCGGCACGAAGGACAGGTTTTGTGTGGCCTTTGGCACACTCCTCAGAGCATCAAGCCGACAGGTCCAGTCTGGCAAACACTTTCAGAGCACCCTGATCAGGACAAGTGGCATGTTGGAGACTGCCCAGTGCCAAAAGGGACATGACCAAGCCAACCTGCCCCCACCCAGCCCCATTGGTTCCAGCCCAGACCCCTGCACCTCCCTTCCTCCCAGTGACCAGAGGAAGCTGGCTGCAGGGCTGTGACCATCCAGAGAAGCCAGTGGCCAACAGGCTCCCGCTGCTCACGCTTCAGAGAAGGCCCGGGTGGGAAGTCGCCCTCCCCGACGCAGAGCGGCGCCAGCTGTAGCTCAGGGGCCGTCCGCTCTTCCCTTCCTGGGACCAGGAGGCCAGGGCCACACACTTTCAGAGCTCAAAGCACTCATCACACAAACACCTTCCTGAAGCACGCGCTGGCTCACAGCCCCATGCGAGTGACTCAGGGGTTACAGAGGCCACTCTGGGCTGTGGGAGGACGGCAGCCTTGTCAACACTGCAATCCCGAGTGCTGACTTACACGCAGCAGACACACGAGGTGCAGCAGTGTACAGCTTCTCTTACATGAAAAACCCAAGATGACGGGAACCCAGGAGACAGACTGTGGAGGTGGGGAGGGACGGAGGAGGTGGGAGGAAGGGAGGCACAGGGGAGGTAAGAGGGTCAGCTGTGAGGCGTGCAAATGTCCTTCTCCATGAGGAATGTAGTGACTATAGATTGCAAACATATGCTAATAAAACAGGGGGCCTGCCCCTTAGTTCAGTTCTTTAAGTGGCTGCTTCAACAAAGCTGTCAGGCTCAGGTTGCTGTGGTTCGAGCCCTACAACTGAAGCCAGCCAAACCTGCCCTGAAGGCATTCGAAAAAAAAAAAAAAAAAAAATCCACATGCTAATAAAACAAACAGGCAGGAAAGTGGACTTCTTTCATCTTTTTTTTTTTTTTTTTGGTGGAATTGGGGATTGAACTTGGGCCCTTGCGCTTCCAGGGAAGTGCTTATTCTACTGAGCCATCCCCCCAGCCCTTTTTTCATCTTCTAATCCTATACTTAAGACAGGGTCTCAGCTCTGCAGAGCTCACTTCTGTAGCCCCAGGCTGGTCTTGAACTCCCAGTGATCCCACCCTGTCTCAACCATCCTCCCAAGTGCTGGAATTATAGGCGTGCCACCACGCCCCGTTCCATAATTCTATACCATTAAAATCCAAATTTTTTTAATTTAATTGCTGGGGATCAGACTCTAGGCCTCTCCTCTCCAACAGAGATACATCTCTAACCCTATTCTTTAATTTAAAAAGTATTCTTTAATTTAAAAAGTATTTAGGGTAGGGCTGGCCAAATAGCTCAGCGGATTAAAGTGCCTGCAAGCAGGCACAGGAGCCAGGAGTTCGATCCCTGGGCCTGGCCTGCTGTGCACACTGAGACGGCAATGGAGACTGGGTGCGGTGGCACGTGCCTGTAATCCCAGCTCTTGGGAGGCTGTACACAGGTGGATCACTGAGTCCGATCTAATAGTGAGACCCTGAACACCCTGTAGATCCTTCCCTAAAAATACAAAAAAAAATATTTAGGGGATACTTTCTCTTGAATCAGGCACCACACAAAGGCTGGACAAAGACAGGTTTTTGGGGGATTTTTTTGTTTTTTTGTGGAACCAGGGATTGAACTCAGGCCCTTGCACTTGCCAGGAAGTGCTTATTCTACTGAGCCATCTCCCTGGCCCCAAGAACAGGTTAATGAAGTGGGACCCGGACCCCTCTTTCGGGGACTGGCTGTGAGCCCTGGTGGCCGCACGTAAGGCAATGCCACGCCCAGGGGCTCCAACAGACCGCAGCTTGGACAGAAGGTGGCCCACCTGAGCCAGGGCTGCCCCTGGCCTCCAATGAGGCCTCAGCACTTGGAAATGCTTGGTCTCACCTGAGCCCTCTTCCACACAAGAGAAAACTGAGAGCGGCTGACACCAGCCGCCAGGGCTTGTGGCCGGTCAACCACTCACAGCCACGGTGCCCTCCAGGGATAGAGCTGGAGATGGCCAGAGGAAGCTAGGGAGCCAGCCCTTCTCTGCTGAGAGGGTAGGGACTCCACATCAGCCTCAGATTAGTAAAGAGTAGAAAAGGCAAAGGTGAGAAGTATGCCTATTCATAGCCCTGTGGCCAATCTAAAAATATCACAAGGCAGGGCACCCTGGCCAGGATAACCAATGCCTGCAGAGTTTGGACGACGGCAGCCAGAACTGGGCCTGGTAGAGTGTGTGGGCCATGAGCTGAGAATGACACTACTAGGTCACTCACCAAGGGACAACTCCTAAACCTGAGTCTCTTATACATGGAGACAACATTCACCTTGCCCTCATGACAGGAAAACAAGTTCATGGAATTCAATCAATTCTGAAACACTTTCCTGGGTCTTCCTAGCTTCCTTCCACAGGAATTTAAAAGCAGAACACAACTGAGGGGAAGGCCCCGCAGGTGTGTGCGGCCCCCCAGAGCAAGGCTGCACCTCACCTCCCCGCTCCCAAGTCCTATTTCCAAGGATCTCAGCGGGTCAGAGGCCTGGCTCACCTTCGAGGAAGGCAGCGCTCTCCTGGATGTAGGCCCCCAGCTGCTCGAAGATGCCATTGATCTTCTTCTTCGCAGTGACGAAGTGCTTGAGAGGGGACGCATTCACCTCAGCCATGTGTCTCTTATCCTTCTTGACCGTGACGATGGGGTTGCATCGAGAGAAGAGCAGGGACATTGCGCTGCAAAAGGAGATGACATAGGTGCCCAGGACACCCACCTGCGGACACTGGGCTTGGGACATGGAAGGAGAACTGGGGCCGGCTCTGGGCTCCATTAACACGGGACCCGCTCAAAGGTGCCAAGGTGAGAGCCAGCGTGAAGAGTGTAGGCAGACTGCAGACACTCGGGCTACCACCCCTGCCACACCGCATGGGCACCAGATACCTGGAGCTTGCTGAACAGTGACGCCCTGAGAGAGACAGAGGAACCATGAAGTCGCCCAGAGGAGCTGTTCTCTGAGTCTAACAAGCAAGACAGAGGTCTGACCACTCCCTACACACAAATCCAAACACTGCATAGAGCGGCTCAAGGTCAGTGATGCCCCCCAGGGCTCCAATTCCTAATCCAGCTCAGGGGCAGAGGCAAAAAGAGATCTACTGCTAAAATTTACTTGAGGCTGGGTGTGGTAGTACACGTCTATTTACCGGCCTTCAGGAGGCAAGGCAGAAGATCGCTGAATTTGAGACCAACCTGGGAAACAAAATGAATTCAAAACTGCATAGTAAAAACTTGCCTCAAAAAGACAAAAGAGGGGCTGGGCAGATAGCTCAGTGGAATAAGTACTTGCCTGGCAAGTGCAAAGGACTGAGTTCAATCCCCAGTTCCACCAAAAATTTTTTTAAAAAAGAAAAAAGAAACTTACTTGCAAAAATATTTATCAGGCTCTCAGTATAGAAAACTTGGAAACTAAGGAAAGAACCCCTAACTGCCCTTCTCTACCAAGTGCTGCTAGTATGTTAACACTGTCTTTAGGGCCACCACAGCTCAGTGGATTAAAGCGCCTACTTAGGCAGACCCAGGGGCCAGGGGTTCAATCCCCGGCCTGCCATGAGGGCCACGCTCCTGGGGTGCACTGAGACAGCAACTGAGACTGGGTGTGGGGGTGCCCGAGCCAGCGCACGCCTGTAATGCCAGTGCTTGGGAGGCTGAAAAACAGGAGGACCACTACTAGTCTGATCTGGGTAGTAAGACCCTGTAGATCCTGTACTAAATACATTTAAAAAAAAAAAAGTCTTTTCTGCAGTGCTCTCCCCCACTTTCATCCATGTGCATCCCTACAGCCCCTCTGTCCTACACAGCAAACTTGACTCCAAAGTCCCTTCGTGAAAGGTCAAAAGGGGCAGACAATTTTAGGTGGTGGCTCCAGGGGTGGCTGGGAAACCCTGCCCCAAAATGCAGCCTGCCAGGCGCTCCTGAGTCCCCACCACGGAGGCAGCTCCTTCCCTAGAAGAGCCGTCAGGTCCAGGGCAGCAGAAGGGCAAAGGCCACTCCAAAGGCCAGAGGAGGATTTTTTGTGGCTAGCTCAGGCTGCTTAAAGGGCGGGTCTGGTGTGACATGTGGAGCTAGGGATCCAACCGCAGTCCCCTGCTCCAGACTGAGTTTGCTCAAGCAAGGGCTAAGCCGCAAGCCCCCTCCAAGGGCCAGAGGAAGCGCGTGCAGCAGAGTGCCTGGCTCTGTCACGCCCTGCCTGGGCAGTCCCTGCCCCACCAGTCCGAGTCTCAGCTGGGGAAGAGGTGTTGCTCAGGAGTGAGCACAGGAGAGATACTTGCAAATGGTGCCAGATGGTGCTGAGCAAGGTCCTGAGAAGCAGAGGCCACCCAGAGCAGGCGCGTGAAGGCTGAAGGTCGAAACTGGCTCCCGGAGTTGCCCACCGCAGGGGTAGGCAGAAAGACCCACGGATGGACAGGAACCCACACACAATGCTCACTCCTACTAATCCTTTTGCAATGTGACAGACTTGGGAGAGAGGAAGTGACTCCACTTGTTTCCACTTACCTCCTAGTACAACACACCTCTGAGAAGTTTTTCTTTTTTTTTTTTTTTTTGAGAAGTTTTTCTTAACTAAGAAAAACAACCAGGTCTTGAGAAAAAGCTCCTCCAAAGCAGAAAAGGAGAGTGCGGGGTACAGGCAGGCAGACATACAAGGGAGTGCTGTTTGGTGGTGTAGCTCAGGGCCACAGGGCTTGCCTAGCACAGCGCCTGGGTGTGATCTCAGTACTAATGGAGGGAAAGCCCACGTGAAAAAGGGTCTGGATGGCTGGCAAGATAGCTCAGTGGACTAAGCGCCTGTTTAGGCAAGCACAGGGACCAGGGTTAGATCCTGCGGCCCCACCCTCAGACCCACTGAGCCCGTGACAGAGTCTGGGCGTAGTGGTGCATGCCTGTAATCCCAGCACTGGGGAGGCTGAAAACAGGAGGATCACTACGAGTCCGAGCTGTGTAGTGAGACCCTGTACCAACTTAAAACTAAAAAAAGGGGGATTTTAAGGGGGTTTCTGGGATGGGGCATGGTGGAGGTCTGCACAGGACAGATTTTGGAATCAGCCATAGTCAGGTACAAATTGAGACTATAGCCAGGCATGATGGCATACGACTGGATTCCTAGCATTCAGGAGGCTAAGACAGGAGGATCTCCAAGAGTTCAAGGAACGCCTCAGCTACATAGTGAGTTTGAGGTCAGTCTAAAATACATAGCAAGACTCTGGGTCAAAAAAATAAATAGACTGGCTGGGGAGAGGGCTCAGTAGAATAAGCGCTTCCTTGGCAAGTGCAAGGGTCTGAGTTCAATCCCCGGTTCGGAAAAATAAATAAATAAATAAATAAATAAATAGACTGTACTCTTTCTGGGCTACATAAATTTAAGCAAGGTATTTCATCTTAGACCCTTGATTTCTTCATGTATACTGTAAATATAATACCATGAAACCCATGAGAAGGCTACGAATGGTTACAGGGCCAGCCAGATAGCTCAGCAGACTAAAGTGCCTGCTTAAGCAAAGCACAGTGGCCGGGTTGATCCCTGGCCTTCTGTGCCTGCCCCGCCCCCAGGGTGAGCTGAAATGGCAACTGAGACTAGGCGTGGTGGCATGTGCCTGTAATCCCAGCACTTGGGAGGCTGAAAACAGAAGAATCACTACAAGTCTGATCTACATAGTGAGAACCTGTAGACCTTGTCCTAAATATATTTAAAAAAAGATTACAGGGGCCAGGGAGATGGCTCAGTGGAATAAGCGCTTCCCTGGCAAGCACAGGGGCTTGAGTTCAATCCCCGGTTCCAAAAAAAAAAATTACAAAGCCTGCATGCTTAAGGTGCATGCATGCACGCGCGCGCGCGCACACACACACACACACACACACACACAGAATCAAAGGTAGCTTTACATGGTTTAAAGCAGTAACAATAAACCACCAGCAAGGTCACAAGATACTCCCCACAAGCCTCCAGCCTGCAGGGAAGATTGGCTGTGCCCAGCCCCAGAAGTGACGTGCTCCCAGAAGGCAAAATCCCTGACAGCCAGTGGGCTTTCAGAAGCAGGTGCTCTTTAAGTTCTGGTTACTGTGCAAGCCCGAAAGATACGTAGCTAAAGGCAGTACGCCCAAGACTTCAGGGAAGGTGTATCAGTAAGAGCTTTGTCACTCAAGGTTAAAGTGTGCGGAGAGTTCAGCCAGGAAGTGCCCTGCGCTCAACTGTTATAACGCCTGCACCTGCACGTCCCCAACACCTTGTCCAACCCACCAGCAGCTCCTCCAGGCTGTGTGACTTCTCTAGCTCTGCTGATTTCCAATCTGAGATTTCACACTTCATCCCACTTTCTCCTGGGAACACTCCTTCCTTACTGACTTACACTCTTACTGTTCTAGGCCCAACTCACACGTCACCCCCTCCACAGAGAATGCCCACCCTCCCCAGACTGTGTCCCCACCTAAGTTCTGAGCTCCTTGAGAGCCAGTCTTCAAGAACAGCGATCGCTTTCCATTGTCCCTTCCTCTCCACAGCTGTCAGAGTCATAGGCCGAGAGGGGAACAACCCCCAGGGACAATCCCCAGCCTTAAACCTTTCATCCCTGGACACACAAACCTCCTTTCTTCATAAAAAGCAATGTCTTGGGCTCTGTGTGTCCAGAGAGCTGAACAAACTTTTCAGATTCTGAAATGCAATCCCTCAGACAGCCAGCTAGACATACATCTGTGCACAAAGGACCAAAGCTGCAAACCACGTGCCCAAGAGCCAGGGCTGGGCCCCCACTATCTCAGGCCTTCGTCCGCTGGCCCTCTCGCTCTCCCAGAGCTGTGGGAAGCAGCTGGCTTCCTGGCCTTCCTCTGGAAAGCCCTGATAGACACGACTTCAACATGGGGCCCACCACAGGCGCACGAAGCCCATCCTCTAAGCAGAACTGAGCCGGAGGGTCCAGTTCCCTATCAGCTGCCCACTCAGAGCTTTTGAGACAGCTCAAAGCGCTCTTGATATTACAGTCTCAGATAGTTTACGACAGCATTTCCCAGTATGGTGCACAGACCTCTAGCTGCACCCAGTGTTCCATGGGAAAAGGGAGCCACGCTAGAATCAACTCGTAAAATACTGTGTGCTGCTATCCGTCGCCACCAGCACACCTGGACGGTAAAAGCTAGGGGAAGGTGAGTTTACTACACCTTAATCAATTTGATCAGCACTGCACACATTTACTCAATGAAGAAATTTCTGTGAAACAGGGTTTAAAATTGCAGTAAGAAGCTGAGGTATGGGGCTGGGAGATGGCTCAGTAGAATAAGCGTTTGCCTGGCAAGGACAAGGGCCTGAGTTCAATCCCTGGTTCCACCAAAAAAAAAAAAAAAAGAAGCTGGGGGTAGTGGTGGTGCACACCTATAATCCCAGCACTCAAGAGCCTGAGGCAGGAGCATCACCTCAAGTTCCAAGGGCAGCCTGGGCTACATAGTGACTTCAAGACCAGCCTGAACTACACAGGAAGACACTGCCTCAAAAAGCAAAACAAAACAAGACAAAATTCTGACAATCACACTCCTGAGAAAGGCTCTTTCATCCTGCTAGTCTTCCATTCTCACCCCTGAAAAGTATTAACAGATATTAACCCAAGAATGGAAACAGAACCAATTCAGAATGAAACTGCTATTAGCATGGCAGGGTAATCAGAAGCTTTGCTTTAGCCCAGGCCAACAGCGCCCAGCACACAGCGAACCCATGTCACAGCCAGCTATCTGTACCACTGAAGGCTCTACAAGGTTCGCCATCACTGACCTAGGCCATTAGTTGAGAAGTATTAGGTATTTAGGGTATAGGCACAGCAGTAGCAAATTCACTGCAAGGTGTGTGTGATCCCAAGCACAGTCCCTAAATCCACACCACCTCCTTACCCAGTTTTATGTACAGCAACTCCTAGCAGGGAAAATAAAATGCATCCACGGACCGTCTGTTGGCACAACTGGAACAGAGGAGAAGCTGAGAAATTGAAACAGAAGAGCATACAGGGTAAAGGGGCAGAGAAGACTCTGAGAAAGACTGTAATACTGAGCCACTCTGCTGGGCAAAGCTGGGGAAAAGAGCCGGCACAACACAGCAGAACCAGAAAGGGACATCCAGACTCATTCTTCGGGGAGCCCAGGAAACCCTGGCCACTTTAAACAGGCTCTCTCCACCACCTTGACAATTAATTCTTCACGGAAACAGAAAGGAGATTGAGAGGTTTTGCTCAACAGTTGCCAATGGATGAGCCCATCCAAGAAACTTGCCACCCGAAGGCCAGGGCCAGCAGAGTACAGTACAGTACACCACACCTCTTTCTTTCCACTCAACCCAGATCCAGGGTGCCAGAGGTCACTGCTATCACTTACTTTTTGGGTGGTAAGAGGCTTTCACAGGGTGGGCATCATGACCATCGCGGAGTCAAAAAATACAAAGAATTTGAGTTCTCCTCTGTGCCGTCTCACATACAGATTGGCTGTAGATGGTGTTGGCTCCACCTGCCCCGCCTCCCTGGGAAGGAAAAGGAAGATGTCAACAGACGGCATAAAAGAAGCAAAAACAACCGGTGTGCACAACACGTCCAATCAGGTTGTAAAGCCAAACAAACTCAGCCCTCAGGGAAGCTTACTCATCGAGGTCTGGGGTGCTGGGCTGGCATGTGAGGAAGTGCCCTGGGGAAGTCACAACACACTGTGGGGCCAGTCCTGGGTGTGCACAGACACGTGCTTAGCCATGTGCCAGTGAAGTGTGACAGAGGTTCCCCCAGAGGAGAACTGGGACAGGCACATCCAGAGCTGGGAGCGGAGGGAGCAAAACAGGTACTGGGGCTGAGGACTAACTGCCAACTGGAGAAGGGAGGAGTGGGATGAGGAGGGGAAATTAACTGATTAAAAGCAAATGTAGCCCAGCTGCTGTAAAGGGGCTCGATTCATTCTCAATTCTAAGGGGCCAAAGAGAAGCGTAGAATACCTGGAGGATTTACAGACTTCTAGTACAGTGGCAAAGCGGGGAACTGAGATACTGTATCAGTCCTCCGACTCCAAAACTCAGTGTTTTTCAACTACAGGAGGCTGCCTCACTGCCCCTCTTTGGAGACAGGAAGGAGGAAATCTGAGCCCTTTCTTTTTCTAGGAGGGAGACAGATGACTGAGAACTTACAAAAATGGATTTCAAAGCAGGAGGCCAAGCAACTTTGCCTTCCTGCATCCAACAGCTATATCTTCAGCATTTTCTCTATGTGTGCGTGCGCTAGAGTTAGACATAAGAACAGTCCATGCCCTCGAGTGCATTACAAGGCGATGAGCAATCACACAAGTCCATAGGACGAGGTACGAAGCGCCCCAAGTGGGGGAGCGCGGGGCGGGGCGCTCCAGCAGCGAACGGGCGCATCTCTGTGGTGCTGAGTAAATGCCGGCCGAGAGAAGGGACTGAGAGAAAACCACGCGCGGGGCAGAAGTGGAATGTGGCGGCGAAGGCTGTGAAGAAGGGCGACAGGAGCTCCACAGGACCCCACGCCCCAGCCCGGGGCCTGCGTCCCGCCCCCTCCTCTCAGGGCCATCTAGGGCCAGGCGTGGAGGCCAGAGCGTGAGGACGCTCCTCTGACCTGATCCTCAGCCCCGAGGGCCCCCCACACGCACCAGCCCAGACTGGGCTGCTCAAGGGTCTCCGGGCCGGGGCTGACAAGTCCCACTATCCCGGCGCGCTCGCCCTCTCACCTTCACCTTCCCGGCCTCGCGGCGGCCATCACACCCACGATGTCACCAGCGAGCGCCACCCCGAGGGGCGGTGGGAGGAGGGCGATACGATTACGTCATCATCCGTCGACCGCTTAATCTCGGCCTAGACGAGCCTGCGGACTCCGAGCTCAGTCAGTTGGAACCAGCTACTCCTTCGGTCGCAACTGTCTCACGGTTCTGCCCTTTGAAAGACGCCGCAGCACGCTATTTTACTGCTGGCTCGTCCCAAGACGATGACGTAAGAGCCTCGGAACCTCCGCTGCATCATGGGAGCTGTAGTTTCCGCGAGAGCGGACTACAGCAGGCGGGCGGGGGCGGGGCGGGGCGGGGCGGAGCCGAGCCTCCCGCTGTCAAGGGGCAAGAAAAAACTCGGGAGGATTCCAGGTTCCCTTATTTGGTTTGTTGCCCCAGAATCTGCCAATCCCTTAATCCTGACTTGAATCTTGTGATTTTTTTTTTTTTTTTTTTTTTTTTTTAAGAAAGGCGCCCTCAGGAGGACCAGACCATTAGGGGCAATGACTCATCTAGGAAGACCGGCAGGCTGGGGCCAGCTGCCCTTCTGTTGCCTTTGTGGAGGTCAGGACAGCTGTAGCAACGTACTAGGCCGACAGGGTGACTTCCCAAGCTCGTGTCAGTCACTGGACCTCTCAGTATGTGCCAGGCACCAGGCGACAAGCCTCAGCAGGGAAGCTCGGAGCCACTGCTGAGTGGTTATTGAGCCCCCACAATGCAGCAGGTGAAAACTGAGACGTGCCCCAAGACTTGGTGTGAAAAAGAATGTAAACCATCTCATTATTATTTCTATATTATGGATAAATTGGGTTAAATAATATAATTATCTAAATTTGTGCCTGGTTTGTTTTTACTTTTAAAATTGTGGCTTCTAAATAAAATTAATGAAAAAAAAAACAAATAAAAAATAAAATTGTGGGCTGGTGAGATGGCTCAGTGGTCTAAAGCACCTCCTTAGAACAAGCTTAGTCAAAGCACAGGGACCACGGTGCAATCCCCCAGCACCACATGCCAGCCAGCCCCGCCCCCTGGTGGGCTGAGCTGGCCACACACACACACACATAAAATAAAAATTTTTTAAAAATTAAAAAATAAAAAATAAAATTGTGGCTTCTAAACCAGGCAAGTAGCATACGCTTGTAATCCCAGTGCTCTGAGAGGCTAAGACGGGAGGATTGCAAGTTCAAGCCCAGCTGGGAATTTACTAAGATCCTATTTTCAAAGGCCTGGGTTGAGCTCAGTGTAAGGGCCTGGGTTCCCTCCCCATTACAAACAAAAATGTAATCACTAGAAAAATTTAAATCACATTTGCATTTGTGGCCCACGTTGTATTTCTATTAAACAGCACTGCCTCAGCAGGTAGTTAGACATGAATGGGTCTGGGGAACCAATGGAAGAGTCCGAAACAGCATGCGTGGGGCCGGTGAGATAGCTCAGCAGAATAAAGCAACTGCTTAGGCAAGCTTAGACAAAGCACAGGACCTCAGTTCAATCCCGGGCACCACATGCCTCGCCAGCCCCACCCCCAGGGCTGGCTGAGCCGGCCAGAGTCCAAGTATAGTACACACACCTTAATCCCAGCACTGGGGAGACTGAAAGCAGGAAGATCACCACGAGTCTGAGCTGCTTTAGTGACACCCTGCAACAGCCAAATACATAGAGACAGACGGGATGGGGCAAGACTATAATCATTTCTGAGGTCTCAAGCCCAAAGCTGTCTCACAGGATACAGTGACATTATGCGCATCCCTATTGATATTCAGCCACCTGGCCATCTAGTTCAAAACAAAGCACACAGCATTCCTGGTTACTAAAGCCCACAACCCAGTGATACTAGGAAAAGAAATGTTTTTTAAAGACTAAAGACTCTCCTGGCTTAGGCTGAGACCTGATTTAAATTAAGAATTTACCCTTTTGGCTGAGTGTAGGGGAGAACACCTGTAATCCCAGCACTTAGGAGGATGAGGCAAAAAGATCACAAATTTGAGCCTAGCTTTAGCAA